CAGAACAATCCTCCGCAGCCCTCAAAGCCCAGCTCACCAGATCCCTCCGCGCCGACGTGCCGGACTGCATCTCCCTCAAGGTCCTCCGAAGCCACCCGGGCCGCACCGTCGACGTGCTCGCCGTCGCCACCACGAACCCGCCCGAAGCGAAGCGCGCAAAGGGCGGGCCCCGCGGCATCATGCTGGCGTTCAACGTCACGGACCACTCCATCGCGCCCGCGCAGACGGTCGCCGTGCAGATTTTCAGGCCGCACAAGGCTGCGCTGCCCGTGATTCACCAGGGCGACGCGGTGCTGTTACGGAACTTTAGCGTCATGGTGCTTACGAGGAGCGGGTTCGGGTTGAGGGCGAATGACGGGTCTAGCTGGGCTGTTTTCGAGACGAGACGGCACGGACATGGGGGAGAAGGTCAGGGAGGAGGGGACGGTGGTAGCAGTGCTGATGCGGACGCTGGCGATGATTTGCCGCAGATTCGGGGCCCGCCTGTGGAGCTGTCTGAGGGGGAGACGGGGTATGCGGCTCTGCTTAGGCGGTGGTATGCCGGGCTGGACGCCAAGTCGCTCGCGAGGTTGGACAAGGCTAACGAGGCGGCGCCGGCTGTTGGGAATGTTGGCAAGGAGGGCAAGTGATGTGCTGCAGCAGTCGCTATAGTGTAGTGTGGATGATACGCGGAGACGGAGGGGGGTCTACGTGTTGGGTGAAGCATTTGACTAGATTGCGTATGGGGTGTTTTGGCATGGGATAGACGTAGCTCGTGCAGTTATCACGGCAGAGATATCACGATAGTCGGCAATGCATTGTACAGTTGATCATATTTGCTAATTAACCCACCCGGTGTAGAAAGTGCGCGAGTGGGCAAAGTGGTGAAGGCGGAATATGTTTCATGCCGCCGTCAAACAATCAATCACCCAAGAGGCGGAACTACGAATGATGAATGCGCAGAAATATGGATCACTAATACACAAGTCCGAGTGGGAGTCGAAACTAGTGTATCGGACGACGGAAAGCCAAGCTCATCAGATCGTGGAGTTGGAGGGCCCGCGTTTTCCCCATGGGAAAAAGCAAGGCAAGCGGCAGCGGAAGCGGAAGCGCAGTCAGAAGAGTAAAAAGAGGCCACCAACCCAGGCAGGTTTCCGAACGGATACCGTCCGCGCGGACTAATCCCGTTTTGTTCCCTTGCCTTGCCTTGCGCGCGTTCGCGTCGAGTGTCCACTCTGACTGTCCGCTGTATTCTTGATCCGCCCGCATTCAAAAGTGCGTCCCCAACCATTCGTGATGCAGGCATTGTGGCATTGTAAGCAGCAAGCGGAGACGCAGCAGTGTTCCGAACGGAAACACACCCGTTATCTACGCAGTATCTGACTTGTCATCCAGCCCCGTCTTGCCCCTCTTTGCTTCTTTTCCCTGATTTGCCTTGATGTGCAAAAAGAGGAGCCGTGGTCCATGCCGGTGAGTTGTGGAGCACACGTCAGGACGGAAAGAGAAAGTCGCTGGAGATTTGACAAGCGATGGTGTGGATGAGCTTGCGGCTTGGTGGGCTGCAAGCAAGGGTGAATTCGGACATCAGGATCGGAGCAGGTCGGCGACCCCACCCTTCGCCGGCCGGGTGGAGGCTTTGCAACAAGGTGGGGCAATTTACCGGCGTCATCGCTGATTGGACGGCTTTGCTTTCCCACGGTTTTCCTCCACATGTGTGGGGGAACTGTCTTGCTCCTCGTGTCCTGTGCGGCTTGCCCCGGGACTTGTCAACGGATGCCAGATTTTGTGCCGAATGTCTTGTTGTGATGGCAGTGCCTGCGAATGCTCCGTGGGAAGGCTGCCGATCCGGCTGCGTGCCGTGTCGATGGGAGGCACGGTATCTGGCGGAACTCTCGCGACCGTTGATTGCCGTTGCATTATCGTAAAGTCATGGATGACCAAGTAGCCATGCGGTTCCGATACAAGTGCGGTGAGTGAGGCTCAGAAACGCCCCTAATTTTGGGTCGACGTCCAGGATGGTCTGGCCGGCTGGTACGGAGGCAGTCTGAACCATTGGATACGGCACTCGTCATACTCCGTACCAAGAGGCACGCACGCCCGGCAAGTGGCATCGGAGCAAAGGGAGTGCGTGTTTCGTCAGGTGGATTTACTGGGGCTCCTGGGTCTAGCTGACAATGGATATTAGGACCTGCGACGGTGGACAAGATGGCTGTACCAGACACAGCAACTGAACGAGACGAGACGGCGCTGCAGATCTTCTGCAAAACGCTCATTGGACTCGTTGGCTTTTTGGCTTAATCTTGATGCGTCACATCTGCTGGCCATTTTTACTTGCCGTCAAGGTTTGGACGGAGTCAGGACAGGCTTTTTTTTTTTTTTTTTTTTTTTTTTGAGATGGTGGCCGGGATGTAGGGACGGGAATTGCACGGTGGTACAGTACGTACAGACGTCGGCATGCATGTACGCGGTGCCGTCGAGTCGGCGCCAGGGACCTTCGGCCGGGAGAAGGTTTTGGGCGGACAGGACGCAGGGGTGGAACGTTGACCGAAACATTGCGCCCACCGGGGTTCAGGACTGCACTTGGGTGAATATTCCACCAGTGTTTCCCATTCATCCAAACCGTTCGTTGCTCGCAGTCGGGACGTGGAAACGGATCGTGATCGCGTCTGTTGTGTCAAGACTCCAAGAGTGGATGACCTGTGTATGTGGGAAGTACTGGACAGGGGTAACCACGCCCCAGTCCCGACTGTTGCCGAATCCAGCTGGGCGAATGGAGATATTTCCAGGTGTGGAATGGGACGTGATTGGGCGCCCGCCGGTGCAAGGGCATCGATTTTGATTACGGGAGCGATTGAATCGGGAATTGTGCATCTTGTTCTTTCGGACTAAAGGGCGTGTATCGTGTGTCGATCCAACGAGACGACGAAACCCTGATGGATTGGGGCAAGCGAGAGCGAGGGTGTGGCCTTTGAGAAGCCGACTTGGTGAAGAAGCCGACTTGCACGGCTTCTTGGGCCCCTTCTGCGGGCCACCTTCTGCTCGCAATTTACTGCGTACTGACAGTGGCGGGTGTCATGATGCTGCGTTGTGCAGAATTATGACAGAACCCGAGGCTGGAGTGGTGTCCTCAGACAGTCACAAAAACGCCAGACACGCCGGCCATCGCTTGAGGCTGGCTGCGCTTGACTGCCTTGGGACACCTGCCCAGAATGCCGCATCGGCCACGGTCCGTTGGTGGTGAGCGACGAGTGACGAGTGGTGACTAAGGGTAGGCGCAATTGACCCAATGGCACGGGTGCAGTTTGAGATGAGGTGTGAAAAATTGCAGAGCGGCTCGTGATGCTTTAAAGTTGGAGGGGGCCACTGGGGGAATGAGGGTTACGATAGGCTAAGGATTATGTAGGCGTCTGTGGTTGGATGCTGCGGTGAGCGGAGGTGGACTGGCTGTGGTGCCTGTGTCTGGGCGTGATCCTTGGAGCCCACACCGGAGCTGACTCGATTGGACCTGACTCGCGAGGCTGGCGCTGGTTAGTGATGTTGGACTCTGGTAAATAGTGACCCGGTGGACGAGGTACCTAGAGGCAGGTATCCGTACTGAGGGCGGCGCCTCAAGGAGTACTTGTTCCAGCCCTGGGGCAGCCAACGGCACGGCTGCAGGTTGGTGATTGGCGGCTGGCCGTTCTCCACAAGGTGTGAGTGACGAGAGATGGGGTCAAGGGCCTGGGTTGCTGCGTTCGGGTGGAGGCCGTGGAGGAAGAGGTCATGATCCCTGGATGACGATTCGTCCCTTGGATTCCAGGAACTCTGGCGACGGGGACTGGGACTGGGGCTGGAGTACCAAGGTCCCCAAGAACCCAAGCCTCCTCAAGCCAAGGCTTTGCCTATTTCCTGGTGTCGTCCGGGCCTCGTCTTGACACATACGGGATTGGGGAGAAATGGATCTGGCGGAGAAGGTCAGTCGGATACGGGGCCGCGGGAGGTGAACTGTGGACTGTGGACTCTGGACTCCCTACCTAGTACGGAGGATAGAAGGCTAGCGAGTCTCTAGCGACAACAGGTGTTTTGCGGTGAAGGAGATCGGCCTGCTGGTCTGTTTGTTGTTTTTGGGGCCGGGTGAGCTTTCTGGAGAAGGTCAAGTTCTAGGCTGTGGCATGGCGGTACTTAGCATGGCGACATGGAAGAGCTAGCGTCGATGCGGCAAGGTGGACGTGTTGCAGCTGCTGAGACACATCACACTACGCAGCAGATATGGCAGGCATGGGTCCATTGTTGATAACACGAAATGGTAGGAGCACTGGAGACACTGGACTCTGAAGGAAAGTGGTAACGAACAAAGAGGCCGCCTTCCCATAGTGCCTGCCCATCGTGTCTGGGCCCAGGAAGGAAGGAAGCAACAGCAGTCATTTGTTTAGAGCAAGTGCGGGTGGATTCACGGGAAAGAGAGGGTTTCCTACAAAGTACGTAGCTTACCTTAGGGCAGAGGGGATCGGGGCAGGATCGGCCGGGGTGCGCCAGTTGCATACGGGCGGGAAAATCAGGTATTGCCTCATGTACGAGGCCGCAAACTGCAAGTCGACAGCAATCTCGAATGCAGGCCGGCGGGTGTTGTCACGATTTGATAGTTGACGGGCGCAGTAGAGTTTGGTCCTTGGTTGTATGGACTCTGTGCTCGAGATGACTTGCCTCGACGATCTGTGATAACCTGCCCGGTGAGAGAGGCAGGCACCCCACTATGGAAGCCGCGGCGCCCCTCATGTTCAACCCCCTCCCGAGCCCCCAGAGATTCGCAGCTACTCCGTACTGCGTCCCAAACGGCCAAAGATGCAAGCTTGGCTGGAAGGAGGCAGGGATGGTGGGAGTTGCGATTACGACATTTGCAGTTGGCTTCACATGCGATGATGCCGAAGCAAGCCAGCGGGCGCGGCGGCTGTTTGGTTGTAGGTTGTCTGCTGATGCGCTGGAAGGTGTCAAAGATGAGGTCAGGAAGTGATAGAGTTGGAGGTTGTGAGATTTCGTTTGCCATGTTCGGCGCAGTGGTTGGCTCGACCGGATGGATGGAAGGTGGCACAAAGGATATATGGGATGGAACACCACCACCAGGAGAAGCACACGCGAGCTTCGCCGTGGCGGACGGGGAGGCGCTGGATGAAGAATCCCATGGCGTCTGTCAGTCTGTAGTCTCGACTCTGCAGGCCGTGGCACCGTGAGGTAAGCAGTCAGTAGCCGTCACCAATGGAACACATCGATGCAGAACGATGTAAGAGCGCCCTGACATTGCGCAGCGATTGCGCAGTGCGGCTTGGTTCCACGCTTCCCTCTCTTGGCCAATCCCGGTCAAGGTCCAACGGCAAGCCTGGAAAACGCAACAACGTCCCGTGGTCTCTGTGTCACTGCGCTCGATGCAGGTCACGGGTCATCGGACAAGACAGATTTGACAGCTCGAGGGCGTCGAGGTCATGGCGTGGAATGGAAGGGAATGCAAGCAGACAATCTCGGTGGGAAAGTGCATCCATCGTAGCGTGGCATCATGAAGACGTGCGGACGGGAGACCTCGAGGTGAGGGAAGGTGAGGTATTTCGTGTGGAGTACGTACAATCTCCCCGATACGTACTCTCTCTACTGTGGTACATACTTTGTAAGGAAGGTACCGCAGCACCGCAGGGAACTTCAAAGTCTGGCGCTCCGTCTCATCCAGCATCCTTGTCTCAAGCCTGACTAACTCTTGTCCACTTCTCCATATTTTGCTGCTTTGCACTTGTTCTTGCTAATGCTAGCTTCGTTTCCCCATAATTCGGGGTACGCAGAGATCCACGTCGTGCTGTGGTCGAAGTGGTCCTGCTTTAATTATTACCCTCTGCCTTTTTCCTGACCTTGCCAGGTGTAGAATGGTGCAGCTGGGCAGCTGGGGAGGAGCAAGGGTGTTCCGCCTCCCTCGTTTCTTCGCCCGGCCTAGTCTCGTCAATGGATCGGAGAGTGAAAGGAGCCAGAAAGAGGAGGGGGCCGCCAGGGGGTGTACCTCAGTCCTTGACTCTATAGGCCGGGGGGGGGGGTACACACAGTAAAGGATACCTCGTGGGAATTCCAGACGAAAGAAAGAGAGTCCGTTCCCAGTTTCTCTCTTTCCAGGCTGTCTGTTGCAAAAAGATTGATCCCATTGGAATAATATAATACCTCCGCCCATCCCCTTCGCACCCTTGGACCCCACATTCCCGCTTCTCCTTTGCTGCCCTTTTCCCACCTCGAGCATTTGCCCGTAGCTCCGGCTTTTCTAAACAATTCGAGCTTGATGTTGCCTCGTCCTTTGCATCTCCAATTCCAGACCTTGCCCAACACAGCATCGACCACCAAATCACGAGACACACGCCCCAGACACACCACACACAAGGTCTCTAACCAAAGGGTCGTCCGCACCCATAGCAGCAGCAACATTTAGTATCAGGCTTGGAAACATTCAATGCTCATCTCAACGCAACCTCGTTCCGCCTTGTTCTGTTGTTTACGTTTGTGTCCTGCCTCAAGACGAGGATCTACCGCCCCAGCTTTGACGACGTGTACGCAAAGCTCATCCGCCGCCCGTATATGCGAGCCCCTTACATCTGCAAGCCGCTTCCATACGTATTGAGTCTCCGGACATTACAGACGATTCTTGATCTATACTCTCGGCCATCACCCGAGACTGACGATACCTTTCTACTTCACTTGTAAGCAAACGGCCTCTTCAACGAGCAGTCTCTAAATAGGGGAGACTGCTTGAGTGCCGCGACAATGGCGACCGAAACCACCACCACTACTACCACCGCCCCCGAGGCAACGCCTGCTCCCGAGCCGGCCACCGATCTATCGGCGCTGACGATGGCGACCACGGAAGAGCCCGCCGAGGCTGCCGAGGACCCGAAAAACGACGACGCCAACGACACCTCCTCGGACCAGGAGCAGAGCAAGAAGCGCTCATCATCGGACGCGGACCTGAAGGATGGAGCGCCCCCAACCAAGATTACGAAGCGCAGAGCCGCCCGCGCCTGCGTGAGCTGTCGCGCGCGCAAGGTCCGCTGCGACGTGGTTGAAGGCGCGCCCTGCGGCAACTGCAGATGGGACAATGTCGAGTGCGTTGTCCAGGAGAGCCGCCGACGAAAGTGAGTTTGACGTCTCCGTATCTTCGTCCGCGACCGAAGTCCGGTATCTTGCAACTCGCCGGTGCCTCGGCACGATGCAGGCGGACGATTGGGGATGCCGACATGACGCCCATGGGGAAACCCCCAATCTCGCAAAGTTGACCCCCGCTGACTTCTTGGCGCGTTTGTAGGAAGAACTTGTTGACTGCCAGCACGGCGGGGCACCATGGTGTGGGAGCCGAGGCACAGTTGCGCTCCAAGGGCGCAAACCCAATCAACATTCACAGCAGCGCGGAACTGCGCCGACCTAGCAATGCATCGGTGGCCTCGGTCAACGGCTCCATCGCCGCGAACCCCGTTCCCGCATCCTCCGGCGTGCCCCTGAATGCGACGTCTGGCATTGGTGCCGGCGTTGCTCCTGCTGCTGGTTCAGGATCTGCAGGAGGAAACGGAATCGGCGTTGGAATTGGCCCTGGTGTTCTCGGGGGCCTGTCGGTACCCGGCGGCTCTTCAGACGGAATCGAGGGTCACGTTCCGCACATGATCTGTAAGTTTGCCTTCGTCTCTGTCGCACAATTCTTTTTTTGGCTCTGCAACACCTTTTTTTTTGGAATCAATTTTCTAGCGTGGGATCTTTCAATTCCGCACCGCACATCCAAATTGCGCCCCCTGTTTGTTGTGTCTTCTTTTTTGTTCCTGGTTTTGCCCATCGCTGCCCTGTCTGGGGGGCTCAGACTGGGGGAGGGGACGGAACGGGGTAAAGTGTGGAGGGGCGTCTTGGACTTTTCCTACCCCGTGACCTGGGGCCTTTCTCCGCCTTTCCTCGTCCAGTCAAGTCTCTCCTGATTCTTCAGCGTACCCCCCCTCCGTTCCGCACTCCGTCCGCGGCCCCAGCTCCGTCCCTCCACGTCCCTTAGCCTCTCACACGTAATCCACATTCACATGCCAGCCTTGGTCTGCAGTCATTATCATCGTCCAACCCACCCCAGACCAAAGCGGTCAATGTTTTGGGACGACTCGCTGACCACGAGACCTTGTGAATCTTAGATCAACGATCGGGTTACCGTCATGACAGCGCAGCGCTGCTCACCAAGCTGCAGTCTGCTGCGGCCGCAGCGTCAGCAGATGGCAACTCTCGTCGCCTGTTGTCCAACCTGCTCGCCCAGGCCTCTCTCTTTGGCGGCATGGGCGGTGCAGGCGGCGCCGGCGACGGGCGAACGAGTCAATTCCTCGCCTCCCTCGAGGAGCCCGACCTCCACGGCCAGCTCCCGGCCTTTGTGAAACCGCTACCCGCCAAGATCGCCCAGGAGGATGTTACCTACCTGCACGCAAAGGGTGCCCTGACTCTGCCTGCGCTACCGTTGCAGAATGCTCTGCTCCAGTCCTACGTCGAATACGTTCATCCGTACATGCCGCTGCTCGAGCTGTACGACTTTCTGGCCATCATCAACGCCCAGGATGGGCTGTGCGGTCAGATCAGCCTGTTCTTGTATCAGGCCGTCATGTTTTCCGCCACCGCCTTTGTCGACATGAAGGTCCTTCGCGAGGCGGGATACCCGACGCGGAAAGCCGCCAGGAAGGCCTTCTTCCAGAAGACGAGGGTAAGTGGCCCGTCCCTGAACTTTCTTTGACGCCGCGCTAGCGACAGGGGTCACCCCCACGCTCAACCCTTTCACATGCTAAACGTTCGTCCGCAGCTGCTCTACGACTTTGACTACGAGTCGGATCGCCTCGTCCTCGTCCAGGCCCTTCTTCTGATGACGTACTGGTACGAGACCCCCGACGACCAAAAGGACACATGGCACTGGATGGGCGTTGCCATTTCGCTGGCCCACACCATTGGCCTGCACCGCGACCCGGCCGCCACGAGCATGCCGGTTCGTAAGCAGAAGCTGTGGAAGCGCATCTGGTGGTCTTGTTTCATGCGCGACCGCCTCATCGCCCTGGGCATGCGCAGGCCCACCCGCATCAAGGATGAGGACTTTGACGTGCCGATGCTGCAGGAGAACGACTTTGAGCTGGAGATTCTGCCCGAGGAGAACAAGATTATTCCCGCCGAGTGCATGCTGCTCCGCGATGTCTCGATGCAGCGGGAGTTGGCCGCGCTGTGCATCTCCAAGGCGCAGCTGTGTATCTGCATCAGCCACATGCTCAAGGCCCAGTACTCCGTCCTGATCCGCGACAAGATGCGCCCGGAGAACACCGTCAACAGCACCATGATGCTGTTCCCGAATAAGAAGCTCGACAATGTCGAGAGTGTGACTTCGGTAGACCTGGAGCTTATGGCCTGGGCCGACACCTTGCCCGCCATCTGCCAGTACAGGCCCCTGACGCCCCTCGATGTCAAGAACGGGCGGTCGACTGTTGCCGTCCAGCGCACCCTGCTGCACATGGTCTACTACACCACCATCTCGGCCCTGCATCGCCCGCAGTTCCTGCCGTCGTCTCCAGTTCACGCACCGACAACCTCCCGGCAGGTGCAGGAGATGTCCCGGCTCCGGGTCCGCGACGCCGCTATGCACGTCACCCGGATGGCGGCCGAGCTCCACCAGCTCCGCCTCGAGAGGTGTCTCCCCACCACCGGCGTGACCGTCATCCTGCCGGCCATGATCATCCATCTTCTGGAAATGAAGAACCCCGTCTCGCAGTCCAGAGACCGCGCCACCCGCGGCTTCCGCCAGTGCATGCGTGTCATGGAGAAGCTGCGCGAGATCTACGCCGCCGCCGACTACGCCACCGGGTTCCTCGATGCGGCCCTCCGCAAGGCCGCCATTGACATTAACCTTCAGCAGACTACCGCGCCCATGACGCAGCAGAACCTCAAGCTTGCCGAGCCGACATTTGGCGCGCAGACGCCCCCGCCCGATAACATCCCCTACATGACGACCGGCGAGGCCCTCTTCGCCAACAAGCCGAACCCCCAGCGCGAGTTCCTGCCGCAGACCATCAACGCCGCAGCGCTTGACTTGTCTGCGCAGAGCCCCCCGCCGACCGAGAAGGACCACGAGTCTTCGCTTGAGGCAATGACGCCGAGCGCCAACGGCAGCTTCGGCAGCACCGAGGAGCCCGGCCCACTCGACCTCGAGTTTCTGCAGACCCAAGAAGAAATTGACTGGAACGCCATGACGGGCACAGAGTTTGATGTTGATCAGTGGCTCCAGTTCCCGCCAGAGGGCGTCAACAACACAGACGACGGGTTCATGGCCAATGTTTTTGGGGAAGATGGCATGAACGACGCCATGAACTGGGCGGCGGCCGGTGTGGACACGACTACGAAGGATGGTGACGGTGCAGCTGAAATTGCCACCCTCGCCTAACGCGCATGATTTCACGTTTTGCGCTCTTGCATTTTACGTTCGCATATAGACTCCTTTGGGAGCATCTTTGCAAATTCACGATGGGATTTTCTGGTTGGAAGCATACTTTGCACTACATGGAGTCGGGATAGAGCAAAACAAAAAGGGAGGCTCAGGATTTCGTGTGTTAATGAAACGGCGTTTTCGGCCGGATGGATTTTTTCAGGCTTCGGAGGGGCTCATTGGAGTAGGGGGGTTTGATTGGATACCCTCATGCGGCGCCTGGTATTTGTTCAACTATGTAGTC